TCACAGTTTTTTTTTATAAGCATTTAAAGTTCAAAAACAAGCGGGTAAGTACTAAGTAGATGTCGCTCTGCTATACAGTAGATTACAAGTGCGTCAATGTATAATCTATTGTATTAAACTTGAATTCAATGATATTTTATCATTGTATAAGAAAAACGATTCTGAGCGGAAACGGTTTGTCAGCCTAGATATTATACAGGGTGTAACAGAAAGATATGGCATATACATATACTGGAAATGTTCCTAAACAGTTCAAAACAAATCAAAATGTTTTGAAAATTTTATCATGTATAGAAAATGCAAATATAAACTACCAGTGAAAATTTCATGTATATACGTTTATTTGTTTTAGAGTTTAACCAAAAATAAAAATCGATTTTGTCATATTATCTTTCTGTTACACCCTATATATTGTCATTAATTATTATATCATGTAAGTTGAATTAATATTATAATATTATTATTTTATATACGTTTCTATGGTAATAAACAAAGCGTTAGAAATTAAAATATATATTTTAGAGTTTTTTCGTAATTTTTTGGTGGTTTTTACAGTGGCACTAAATAACTATTGTTAAAATCAAAAAATGACCTCTATAAAGTACCATCTTGATCCAATTTGCTAAAAGATAAGATACTATATATTGAAATCGAAGCACTCCTTCTGGTAGAAATTTTGTATACAGGATATAAAAAAAAAAAATAAATAAAAACCATTGTAAAACCACTAGCTTCCTCGCTCCGCTCAGAATCTAAAATTGACAAAATATGGAAAAATCACGAAAATTAGCAAATTATTTTGAGTTTGGAATTCGTAAAAATTTTTTTTTTAAATCTAACATTTTAAAATGTAATAAAAGATTTATTATAATATTATCTACCTTTTTCAAAAAAAAAATCTCTACCGGACAGTCAAATTAAATTTTTATGAGCGTTTGAAATTCAAATTTTTACAACATTGGATATTCACTCGATTTCTCATGTAGCGATTTCCTTATTTTGTTGTAATTCAAAAACGAATAACTATAGATACATGAAAATTTCACTGAATGTTTAAATTGGCATTTCCTATACACCATACAATTTTGAAAATATTTTGACTCTTTTTGAGCTATTTACGGACATTTACCGCTTTCAATTTTCTTTAGTTTTTTTTTTCTATAAATATCAATTAAGTTTTATCTGTTGGCCCAAAAAGTGTAAAAATTTAATACAAGACTCCTGATATATTGTTACAATATCAGTTGAAAAATAATAAAAATACATAGGCACAGTTTTTTTTTATAAGCATTTAAAGATCGAATTTTGACAAAATTTATCAAAATCTCGAAAATTATCAATCATTGTAATTAATATATTATAAAATGTTCAGTTTTTATAGCTAAGGATTGCAAATTTAAAACAAAGGTTCTCATATATAGTTCATACTGTAACCAAAAAATCTAAAAAATATATGAACACAGTTATTTTTTACAGACATTTTAAATTCAAATTTGGACGAAATTACATATTAAAAAAACCTAGAAAAACTATTTTAGTTATTTGGTTGTGATTGAATAATATTATTTGTAGGTACTTGAATCTTCTAAAGTGTACTATTATATATCTATGATAGTATCAGGGTTCGTTGTTGATGTATAACGCGTTATAAGTAGGTACCTAATGAATATTTTGATATGATTAATTTGGAATTTATTATAGGTACCTATTATAGGACAATTTTTTTTAATACCATAGATAAGTATATAATATGTCTGATACCTAGACTAACATACCGTCTCCGCTCAGAATCGTTTTTCTTATACAATGATATTATATTATTGAATTCAAATTTAATACCATCCATTATACAGTGATCCACTTGTAACCTACTGTACAGGAGAGCACCTTTTTTTAGTTTAAAATATAAATTTAAATAACAATTTTTTGCATTACCTGTATAAATTAATTTTTAAGTTGGTGGGTAGGTAACTAACTTGAATTTTTGCTGATGAATGAACAATGAAATTAAACAACTGTCAACTGATAATTTGATAAAATGTATCAAATAGGTAGACAATAAGTAGGTAGTTAGTGCCCAGCTGTGTCCAATTTATTAATTTAGAGATAACATTATTAAAATTGGTTTTGGTATAAAGTTTCATATTAATAATATAATAACTACCTTTATTATTTATCTAATAATAAGGTTATAACTTCTTTACTTTCTTGTCTAATTAGTATGATTTACATATAACATCATAAATAATTGCATACAACACGAAAAAAGTAAGTACTGATTAATATTGCTGTAGTAATACAAAAATCAAGTAAAAAATTATAATATTAATTTGGGGCCTCCAAACAAATGTTGCACACGGGCCTCGGAGTTAATAGTTGCGGCACTGCCAAAGTACCAACTAAATTCACTTTCCTATCAGAGAAGATAATTTTGAAGAAAATCCAAGCACGTTTTCTGTCCTAAAAGGTGATGACAGACACAAGAAAAAATAAAAAACACTCATCGTTGTAAAATTAATACATTCGTCGTTCCACCCAGAATCTAAAATGTACTATAGTCTATAGGTAAATATATATTATAACTCTTAATATTATATATATAAATTGTATGTACCTATTATTATTTAATATACTACGCCCTCTACCTATTAAACCTATATTCAATATATGCACTGCACGTCATGTTTTTTTATCTCTGTGTGTTGCAGGATTCAAAAAATGCACAGGTTCTTTAAAAAAATGTGACCGGACTGGGTTTGAATGGGTAATAATGGGTTTTAATAGGTTTTAATAATTTGCATATGAATGCAGTTCCTGACACTATTAGGGTAGTTCCCTACAAACCTAACCTATAGAAATATATAGCAAGATGCTGTTTAAAAGTAAAATAACATGTACCTATTTTATTAAAGTTAGTTTTGTTAAATTAGTTTTTTTTTGTTACTAAAAAGTAATAAAAATGCAGTTTAAAGTTTGTTGGGTTTTTTTACTGGGTTGTATAAGTAGGCCCGAGTTTTAATGGGTTGGACCTAGTACTTCGAACCTTTGTATGTTGATAACAAGATTGTAAAAACACAGAATTTGCTGATACGCAATTATGTTAAATTCGATTATACTTAAAATTACTTTTGTAGTACTGAATAATCTGTTAATATTTAAAAATGAAATTGATTTTTTTTTAAATCCTAATATCAAAGTAGCCTTCTAATGTTTGTAACTGTAATAAGGATGTATAGCTTATATAAAAAAGTAATAATACTGTAGAACAGGCTTCAGAAATTTGGGCCTTATTTTTATGGCCTGCGAATAGCAATATTTATGAACAATTAATTTTAAAAAAAATTTTACAATTTTCCCTTTGTGTCACCATCTCTGATTAAAGTTACCCGGAGTTTAATAGATCGAATTTTCCCAGAATAAATATCTGTTATCAGCTGATTAAGCTTAATCGTAGTTTAATCGTAGACGGTACAAGCTGCTGCGTGTTTCGACTTGTTTTAATTTTTACACTGTAAAAACAAGCACATCGATTGTGTGCAACTGTGCACTACAACTGTTAGTAGGTACTGCTAGTACTGCACCACTATAGTATATAATACACGGCGATACCGTTCCGTCGCGGACAACCGCCCGACTATTTGGCCATCGAAATAACCCAATCCAAATATTATATTATTTTCATAATATTCTGAATTTATGTTTTTTATTTTTAAAAATAATCTTAATAACACTATAAGTACTTAGTTGTATAATTATTATGATTTATGTTATTAATTTTTCCAAATTTTTCGATAAAACACCGAAAATTCTTTTGCCACCAACAGTCTAATTCGTACGTCAGACTGGGCGTCAACCTTGTGGGTAGGTCGAGATCGGAATTCGTGCCCATCGAATTTTCTATGGAGGTAATATTTTCGGACTTGTGATTTTTTTCCAATTTTTTCGAAAAACTCCGAAAATTATTTTTCCACTAACAATCTGATTCGATGTGGGTTTTAATTGGAAATTTGGTACTTTACCGGACACCCTTTTTTTAGACTTATGTAGTTAACTATACTGAGAACGATGTTGAAGTCAGAATTTGGAGGTCGGATTTAGTTTCGAAGTTATGGCTTAATGAAGTTCTCTATTTTACGATTTTTGCGCATTCGTGCGTCACTAGTTTATTGAACCTATTACGAATATTGATTTTTTTTTTTTGAAACCTAACGAGTTAAGAACGACGGTGCAATCAAAATTAGATAGCCAGACTTCGTTTTGAAGTTATATGCTTAAGAAGTTTCGAATTCTGAGTTTTTACGCAAACGCTCAACGTTCTAGAAGGTCCCCGCGCCTGCCGCTCCGGCTAATATGTGTCATAATAAAACTATGTTTTTAAGCTCATATACATATATGTTTTCCCATCTTTTCTTGAGTTTGGGTAGGTAGTGCACGTGCACTTGTGCACACATACACGAGCCGCCATTGTCTGCTTTAGAATAACTATTCAAAATTAATAAGAAAAATCTATGAGAATAACATAACCATCATTTCCTCCTATTTGCGGCTGTATCTATGCAGCATTGAATACATAACAAAAACGATACAACTTTGTGGTGTTTGTCCCTAATTTTCAATTACTATTATATTTAAAATATATTGTTTAACAGTGTGTTGGTAAGAAAATAATAATATACAACTTCTGTTATCCGGAGCGTTATCTAAATGATTTATAAAAAAACAACCTTTGATTTATGTACAATTTATAAATAATTGAAACAGAATGGTGTATTTACTTATTATAATAAACTGAATCATATATTGTACTTGTACATTATAAATAATCAGTAATCCTGTTAAAAAATATATATCAATGTGAATTAAAATTTTTTTTATAAACTTTATTGGATATTGTTACTTTGGATAATTTAAATTCATATTAATTTGTTAGTTACAAATTCACAATATTGACCTAAAATTTAATGTATTAGGTATATTAAAGCAAACATTTTTTTTTCAGAATGAACTGGTTAATGCATATAATTACACTCCAAGTATTATCAAATTTGTTGTGCATAAGAAGTGAGCCATGCTTTTGTGAGGAGGTTCGTATTATTGATGGTGATGTTAGGAATACTTTTAAGTATGCCACATATATCGAATGTGAGTCGTCAAATTTGGATTTAAATTTTATGGAATCCTTAACTGAAATGAAATGTTTTGAAGATTACACCAGCGCAACTGTTACAGTTGGCATGAATACGGCTGAAAGTTTGAAATTAGTTGCCATGAGACTCAATGGTTGTCTAGAAACTACTTACTTGTCAAATTTGGAGAGCTTGCACGAGTTATATATTACTCATACCAAATTAATATTTACAAATGAATCGTTTGAAGGAACACCTCGTTTAACAAAATTATATCTCAGACATAACTATATAGAAGATATACCTGTGGGTATGTTCAAACCACTTACTCATTTAAAAATATTAGATTTAGAAGATAATAAGTTAACCACAATAAATAGTGATCTAATTTATGGTATTCCATTGATATATTTGAATTTGGACACAAATTATTTAACATCTTTGGACCTAAATTCTCAGAGTCTGGAGTATTTGGATGTAACCAACAATAGAATTACTTCTTTAACTGTTGGACGTCTCTATCGACTTTATACTATATTATTAAACAAAAATATTTTAGTAACAATGCCTGACCAAACATTTAAAAACACTTCTTTAACGTCAATCGAATTCAGCTATGGTAACTTTACTACCATACCTCAAAGATTTTTAACAAATTTAGACGGATTGGGTAATGTTAATCTCACGTCATTAAACATAAAAAAGGTACCCAAAAATATGATTTGGAATTCAACAAATATTTGGCAATTAACATTAGCTTCAAATTGTTTGACTGAACTACCAGTGATGTTTTTTCGAGATGCTACGAAATTAAAATTCTTAGATTTATCTAAAAATCAAATTGAAAATATCAAATATAAATTACTGTTACCATTAAAAAAACTAGAATTCATAGATTTATCCAATAATTTAATAACTAAAATTGAAAACTGCGGTTTATGGCCTTTAAGCTACTTATTAGAGTATTTGAATTCGGAAAGAAATGTGATGGCAACTTTTGAACCTGAAAGATACTATAATTTCAAGGAATTACAAAAAATAAATTTGGCTCATAATAAAATAAGTAAATTGACCTCATTTGACTCAAATTATAGTATAATTGAAATTTTACTTAATTTAATTTATATTAATCTATCAAGTAATAACTTCACTGTACTCAGAATACAAGATATACAGTACATAAATGAAATTGTCGAAATTGATCTTGAAAATAATCCATTAGAAGTAATTGATATGTCAAATTTAGAAATATTTGGTAGTAACAACTTCTTGAATAATAGACATCTAAAGCTGTCTAGTGATAAATTCATTTGTGATTGTCGTAATTATAAGTTTGCAAGATTTTTACATTATAACCAAATGCCAAAAATTAAACAAAAATTGATTTGCAATGATGGATTGCGTACAGAATTTTCAGATGTGAATATCGAAAGTTTAATATGTGACTGGAAAATTTTTGAGGATGTAGACAAGACTGACTGTTTTGAATGTGAGTGTACTTACCGTCCTCATGACAAATCTGCCCTGATGAATTGTTCAAATAGAAATTTAATATTGGCACCGGAAGTAATAATTTCAAGTAAAAATGTTAATTATACAGAACTGAATTTAAGAAATAATTCCATCACTAAGTTACCAAACTATGAAAATTTAAACATCAAGAAGTTAAATATTGGTTATAATAATTTAAATACCATTAACATGACGCAGTTACCTAAAAATCTTACGGTGAGTTGATGAAACTAGTTTTATATGAACAATTAATTTACGTTTATACTGTTTTAGATTATGAGTGAAAAGGATTTAACCACTACATATATATAGTTTTTACAGTTGTTATTTTTCTTGTAATTGAGTTCTATACACACTATAGTAAGAGTCTAGGTTCATTCAGATTTGTTTATAATAAACCACAACCTATAATATATCCCAAGATTTTACTTATAAAATGAAGGTTACCAGAGTAACCTGCATGACGTGTTGTCTCCACTTCTTACAAATGCATAACATAGTAATATTGTATGTTCTGAGTAATTAATTGAACTCTTGTTTAATAGGAGAGCCAAATGATCTATGATGTAATTTAGAACTAAGAATATTATCTACCAAAGCTCATAGGTCTTTTTATTTATATTTTAATTTTGCATTTTGATAATTTTAAAGCTAAATTGTTTGAAAATATAAAAATTTAAAATTATCTCACTTTAAAATTTAAATGTAAAATAACCTTTGAGGCTCACTAGATTATATTCTTACTTCTACATTTGATAATAGGTCAAGGTCAATTCACTCTATAGTATTAAACATAACAGAGTTAAATGAATTATTCGGAATGTACAATTTTTTATGTTATGAGTTTGTATAGGATGGTGAGACAATGCATGGGAATGTACCGATCTCTTAAAATAGCGTTTTAAGTCTATGGTGTTTTTACGAATACATTTTAAATCCAAGTTTTATTTTAGGAATTACACTTGGAACATAATAATCTTACAATGATTAGTGAGACGAATTTGACCAATATATTACCCAACTTAAACAACTTAACAATGAACAGTAATCCATGGATATGTGATTGTAATGCCAAGAATACTGTCAATTTTATTCACAAATATAGATCTAAGGTGAAACATATTATACTGATGCTCTTTAAAAGTTTAAAATGATGAGATATTATTATATAGTTAGTATATTATTCTTATTTTTTTTTTTCATATAGATTTTTGATTTAATCAATATCACATGCAAATCATCAACTCTGTTAGTTACCCTGATTGAGGAAGAAGTATGCCAAGAAAAATTAAACACTACCATGAACAATGTATCTTTATTTTCCGTATCTTTGTTTTTAGCCGTGTTGAGTTCAGCATTTAGTTTATGTTTGTTATGGTTGTTGTATAGTTACAACCAGACTAAAATCAAAATATGGCTGTACTCTCATAACATAACATGGCCAATATCTGAAGAATCTCTCGACCAGGATAAAAAATATGATGCATTTATTAGTTTCTCTCACATAGACATAGAACTAGTTGAAAAGCATTTAGTACCAGGCTTGGAAGGAGGCAGCTCACCGTTTAAACTTTGTCTTCACTATAGAGACTGGGTAGTCGGTGATTGGATTCCTAATCAAATTGCTCGGTCAGTTGATGAATCTCGAAGAATTATTATTGTATTATCACAAAATTATTTAGAGAGTGTTTGGGGTCGTACAGAGTTCAGAACAGCTTATTCTAGTGCTCTGAACGAACGCCGCAGTCGTATAATCGTCATACTTTATAAAGACATATCAGAGAAAGATTTAGATTCAGAGTTAGAAGCATATCTGTCCATGAATACTTATATTAAATGGGGAGATCGTTGGTTTTGGCAGAAATTGAGATATGCTCTTCCGCATAGACCAGCTACGAAAAACAAAACTAGAGCTAAGATAATAGTACCAGATAAATTAAATTCTGTTCGGTTAACATAACTTTTATTTTATAATTGATAACCTGTTTTAATTATTTTATAAAATGTAATATTTACATTTTTTTAGAATGTATATTTTGTGACAGTTATTTTATTTTAAGTTAGGTATTTTTTTTCCTGTTATAAAATTGAAAGTTTATGTTATAACTTGTAACTAAGCATAAACTGATATAAAAATATTAAGTTGTAAACTGTATTGTTTTAAATAAAAAAAGTATATAAATACACTATACTTTGTTAACTTTAATTTTGTTGTACCAAATATGTTTAAAATATTCATATTTATTGTTATATATAATTTACACTAACTTAGTAAATATCAATATGTACTGTGCTTATGTATAATCTTAAATTTTTTATTCAACTTGAAATTCTTGGGACACTTTTTTACTCAAATCCAAAGCTTATAGTTTATTAGTCATAAAAAAAAAATACTAATTATTGTCAATTTAATAGAGTGAAGAGAGCCAGAGAGGTGAGTATCTAATATCCAGGGGCGGACCCAGGGGGGGTTTGGGAGGTCAGCTGACCAACAGTTTTTTTCCCTGTTAAATGTGGCCCCTTGAAATGGCAAACTATACAAAAAATTTTTTGTTGAAAAAATTATGTACAGTGGTACAGTGGCGGATTGGGGCACATGCCCCCGTGTCAATTTTCTGTCAACAATTTGTTATGTAACTACGAGTATCATATAAATGAAAAATTCAGTCAATAAGAATAATACTACCAACTATTAATTATTATTTATTATAATCATTATTGTTTAAAAATTATAGTTTGTATGTACTATTAATTAAAATTAAAATTATACAATTTATATGTGCCCGCTTCCATTTTATGAAGTAGACAGATGAAATTGATATAGAAGAGGAATACCGTTCATTATATCTAGTTTACCAACAAGTGTATGACAAAACTATTGAAACTGGAGTAACTGGAACTTTAAAATGAAATCAGTCATTGAAAACTAAAATAAAATAAATATACTGCAAATATACGTATAAAAATAAAAAAATAAATATGTATTATAATCCCTTCTAATGATTTAAATATGTCAGGTAAATTTTTTAATTGAATATAAATTTTAATGCTACAAATAAAAATAACAATTTATTAAATATAGCTTTAAGACTAAAGCTTGTAAGTAGATTTTACAATTTGCTAAAAAATATGTTATGAGTTATGACTCATGTAATATAGTTATATTGAAAGTTGATATCGAAATGTGATGTAAATAACTAATAAGGTAAATCACGAGCGCATTGGGTGACTTTGTAATACCTAGTTGGTTGAAGTTTCTACACAGTGGTCTCTCGTAAGTAAGGCATACCCACAGTTCTAAAATCCTGGGTACGCCACTGCTAATATCTATAAAAAGTTTGAAGGATGTACTGTGACTTACTGAAATTTACTGTGCCCCAAACGGCGATAACAGGCACAAAAATAATAATATTCTTTGAGGTTCAGTTATTTACGAACACCTGTTCTAGACTATGCAGCTCTTTAGGAATCCCTTTTTTTATTTAAAATCAGATGTGCCCAAAATAAATATAAATATAAATTATAATGTTATTATTTCATTTGAATTTTGAAAAATCTTAATTTTAAGGTCCTAAAAATTTAAAATTAAATTCTTAAAAAGCCTAGATATCATAGGTATTGTCAAAGAGTTCGTCCATGTATAAAAAATTGAAATCGGTCATTCCAAATTTTGTGTAATTTACCATCGCTTATTGGTGAAAAATATTCATAATACGCATACGCTTATGAAAAATAATTATCCTACGATCCCTGATAAGTGATTCAAATCCACTTGTAATTTAATGCAGTCTTATTTAGTTTTAAGTCGTCCGCGAACATTAAGAAGTGACTATTTTTGAATATCTTCGACGTCGTTCATAAAAAGTATAAATAATATTATGGGTGATAAATATTGATGGGATCGAGACGCCGCGCCGTTGTCCGACGGCGTGCGGCTTGAAGTAACCGCGGATAAGGTAATCCACGTTGGCAGTAGTGATGAGGGGACGGAACCGGCGGTAACCTCAGTGACACCAAGACGTCCCCGACGTTTCCTGGGGAGCCGGACCAAGAAAGTCCTCAGGCAAATGTTTTGTTATGATGCGATTCACCACGCAGATGTATAGATTAGTTTATATTAGGGTTTAATTATGAGTATTTGGACACCTGACGTCCCCTTCCCTCCCCCCGCCGTTAAAGCGTTCGTACCGAGTTATGGCAGGTTTGGCGCTTGTATTCAATTATTTACTGTGCAGCCGACAGCTATTCGCAGCGAGTTTTGTTTTTCCGCCTCGCGGTCGTCTGTTTTTGGGCATTTACCTTAGCAATCGTAAGCGCTGTATAATATTCACTCTGCTTTTTCACCGGGCGAAATGATGTACTCAACCTCGCCATATCACTCCGCTCTGGCCGACATCGCTCCATTTGTGTAATAGATCCGTTGTGGCGCTGTGGTAATCGCCGATGTATATTAGCGGTTACTGCTGCCTTTCACTAGCACCTTTTTCACCTATAACGATATGAGTTGAAATAAGTGTAATCTAATTCTAACCCCGAACGGGGGGGGGGGAATGTTTTGTAAAAATGTACCTATACCTATCTAAATAATTATAAATGATGGCTATGATGCTGTAATAAAGTATATTGTAATAATCAAGAACTACAGGAGTTATATAACAGGCCAAATATTATTGCATATATAAGAAGCAAGCGTCTGGAATGGTTCGGTCATGTTTGGAGAGCGGATGGACAAGTAATAAAAGAAGTTTTAATTAACACAATAAATAAAAAACGTCCATTAGGAAGACCAAGGACCCGATGGGTGGACGTTATAGCTCAAGATATAAAAAGCATAGAGGAAGCGTCATCTTTTGACGACGCATACGATAGAGAGAAATGGAGAGGTTTGGTGATGGCAGCGATGGCACTTAATGGGCCGATAAGCTGAAGAAGAAGAAGAAGAAGAAGTATATTATGTAAATTAACTTGAATAAAATTGTGTGTTATGTTACATAATATTTGGTTTTCATTTGATATTATTAATAAATATGTCAACTGGCTTGTGTAAAATGAATTAATACGGCTTGTGGAAATTCTATGTATTTTGTTCAGGTATAGGTACTTACGGTTTTTTTTAACCAGTATGTAAAACTCACGAGGAACTTTGTATTAAATTATCGAGCTTTAAACAAATAAAATATCTTTATAACTGATTCAATGTGAGTACACCCGATGGATGACGATTCGATATTAAATATTAATTTTAACGTACCTAAGACACTAATTATTTCAAAAACTTATAAAGTTATTATTTTTACATAACTTTAGGTCGTTAAAAATAACCTTTTTCTAAAGTTGTAAATATTTATAAATTATAGTTAATACTTAATAACATTAATTGTATATAATATACCTAGTGGGAATTAGGTAATTTTTAAATTGTATTCGTTTCTATATGGTGATAAACGAAGAGTTAGAAAATAAATATTTTAGAAAAATAAATGTTACGTTAAAAAACTATTGAGAAAATTAAAAAATGACCTATTTAAAGTACTATCTTGATATAATTTTTTAAAAGATAAAATACTATATTATATTGAAATCAAAGCACTCCTTCTGGCAGAAATTTTGTTTTCAGCCAGCAGGATAAAAAAAAAAATAAGTAACATCATTGTAAAACCACTAACTTCTTCGCTCAGAATCTAAAATAAAGAATATTATTAAAGTAGGTACCACTCAAAAACTTCAAACTCACATATATATGATTTTATATGGCTAAGCAGTGTTGGCCGTTGGGTAAATTACTTTTAAAGAATAATGAAATTACGTTACTCGTTACTTCAAATATTTTTATTTAAATTACATTTACGTTACCTAAAATTTTTTTTATCACGTTACTACATTACTTTTTCATTAATAAAGTATTGTATTACAAATAACGTCACTTTTTTATCATTTTTTTTAACCTTATTCAATTCATATGGTTCAATTATTATGTATATATTTTACAATCATAGACCTAGTGATAATAGACCTAAAATTTTAGTATTATGTACGAATTTACAATCATCTCACCTATATAGCATGACTATATATAGTCATAAGCATAGACTAGTAATCTATTATAATCTATACATTATAAGTTATAAGTTATAACCTATACATAATCTATTATGTCTATATTCATATTAAGTCATAAATCATAATTAATTTTTTTTATTTTTATTTTTAAACCACTCTTTTTCTGCTAATAAAGTGATAACTTTTATTCCTGGAATATTTAGTAATATAATTATCGGAATCAAAAATAAATAGAATTGATTTTTAATTTTTCTGGGATATCCTATACCTGTAATACATTCAAAACTATTATTTTAATAACGTGGAAAATAACGCGTTAGTGCATTATATTACTTCATATAAATAACTTTTCAAAATTAATTTTGTTACAATTGCGTCACTTTAAGTAAAATGTAATGAAATTACTGCTGCGTTACTGAAAAAGTAATGGCGTTACAGTAATTTGTAATTTACTTTACGTTACTACCCAACACTGTGGCTAAGCCAAGTAATAAAGTTAATATTGATTCACTGCTTTTAACCAGAATTAAATAAAAATATTCTACTCAACAAACACTTGTGCCTTCTCTCTTCATTGAGCTATACGCCCAAATACCCTAAGCACGGTATATAAGATCTTATCTATACCGTATTACCGTGTCCTAAGTAAATCCTGATCACCACGTCCAGAACTATTTTTATAGTTAGTGAGAGATCACTACACGTTTTTTGTGTCAGATGTTGGGTCATATGAGGGCTGAGAAGTATTTTGGTACCCAAGTATCCAACCCAAAATCAAGTACTAAAGTAAGTTTACACTTCTACAGCAGCAGGCTGGTCTATACTCTACGTATAGTTAATTTCATACATCCAGGAACAAAGGGCGGCATAGAGTAATAAAACTAAAGGGCGGTAATGGCTTTTCAAATCCACCTAGTACCTTAAACCTTATACGTGCTTATACCTTGGTATAATCGTTATCACCAGCTGTCAGCTGATTCCCTTCGTAAAATAGATTAAACATATCGGTTACGTCATAGTATTGATTATGATTAGTGATATAATAAACCTTAGTGTTTGAATAATTTAATTACTGATCAAAATTTTAATGGATAATCAATTAGCTTAGAGTTCGTTTTTATTGTTTGATTTTACTCTTTTTTTGTTTTTTGATTTTTGATTTTTATTCCTCGCTAAGATGGTCCAAGAATACCAATCGCCGGTGCGAGTTTACAAGTATCCATTTGAAATTGTAATGGCTGTAAGTACAACAGAATATTGCAGTACACAAAAATTATAATTTTTTTGAAAAAATGCATACACATTGTATGCTTGATGTTGAAAATCATTGGGTTTTAATAATTTTTTATTATAGGCATACGAAAGACGATTTCCGACATCTCCGTTAATACCGGTCTTCGTTGGGAGTGAAGTAACAGCCGACGACACAACAAATGATGGTTCAATTAGAACCACTGAAAGAAGATGTAAACTCGTTGTGGAAGCTCCATATTTATTAAAAAAGGTTTGCCATACTAAAACTGCGCTAATTAATATTCATGTACATGTAATAACATTTATTTTTTAGATTATCGGTGTAGATTATGTATATTTTATTCAGAAAAATGTGCTAGATTTGAGAGAACGTTGTTTAAATATTGAAGCAACAAATGAGACATTTTCAACTCGTGTAAATGTCTTAGAAAAATGTCGTTACTATGTAAGTCTATCAATATTCAATATTATTATAGTCATATTTACTACATTAATACATCAACAATTACACAATTCTAAGTAACAAATTAAATCAATTATTTACAACTAATAGATTTAACATTGAGGATGCAGTGTAGGTTATATCAATAAAAATATAATATGTTATGTATAACAAAACACATATTTCATAAATTCTGAACTATTGTTATTTGTTAGACCATTTTAGATTTTGAGTATAGCAATTAATTAATATATTCATTATTCATATTACCAATATAAATGTTTAACTCTTTTTCATGTGTTAGTGAATATTTTGTTGTATTCTCATTTTAAGTGTATATTTTACATATATTTTTAATTTATAATTACATTTTTCTATAAATTGGTAATGAAAATATATATGTTTACATAGATTTAATAAATAAATTAAAATTTTATACAACACATATTTATATATATTTTTCAGCATAAATTAATAATATTAACTACCAATAAAAATATTTTTCTGATATATATAGCGTAATCAAAATGTTTCGGTATTTAAGGCATATTTAAGTGATTACACATATTTTAAAGTTTTTAAGGGCTTTAAGTCCCCTAACCCTATGTGCCTATTAGATATAAATGTTGAAAATATTTTATCATATTTTAGTTGCAAACATTGTTAATGATATCCAACCATTTGATTGTTTCCCATCTAATTACAATAAACTGTTTTCTAAATTGCCTTATAATATGATATTATGTAAATTATTATTACGTTGTATAATATTATAATAGAGAATTTTTTTTTTTATAAATAGACTCATTAAATGTTTTTATCAAAAAAGCAATTAAATAAACTAATTTTAACAGCTCATTCGATTGTTTTAAAATATAAAATAATATAATATATCTAACTGGTAGTTGCAAATCTTGATAACTAATATGCGTTTAACAGTATTTAGTTTTGAAGCAATTTCTTTATACTTTTAGCCTGTAGTTTTACTTTTTAATGTTTGTATTATAAATTTAAGTAACTGAAATTTAACATTTTTCAAAATTACGGGGCTCAAAACTGTTTCAATTAGTTTCAATTTTCCAGTTTTGTGAACAGTTAATGATAATTTTAGTTTTTTTTTTTGGTTTTATATTTGGTTATTGTACATTTTTAGTTCAGTGAATAAATTTTTAAATTCTTCGATTTTGGTTTGGGTTAGAAAGTTTTTGGTTTTGGTCGCAATTATATTGTTGAACAATGAAAACCCAAGATATAAACTGGTTTTGAGTCCTGTAAAATGATGTTAGTAATTTTTCAAAGATGCATTAATTAAAATTATAATTAAAATGTTTATATTTAGTGTTATGACATAGGTATAAATAAAATATGCATACTTAATTTTATTTGCATGTTTATCAGGTTCATCCAGAAAACTCAGAATGGACATGTTATGAACAGAGCGCGCTATTAGATATAAAATATTTTTTGGGTTTTGAGTCATCCATGGAAAAACTTGGTATGAAACAATACATTCAGAATATTTCCAAGGGTAAAGAAATAATAGAATTTTATGTTGATGAATTAAAAAAAGATGGAATAACTAATCTCCCTCGTTGGATACCTTCTGGAGGTGATCAAACTTGGTTAGTCAAATTTCATATATTTTCTTACTTTATAGTTTTATATTTTCATAATAGTAGTAATAAAGATATGTAAACCTATATTCTTAACTACAATTACTTAAAAGATTATTTGATTTAAATTGCATGCTTGCATTATAAAAATAAAATAATAATAATATATTTTAACGCTTTGATTTTATTAAAAAAATTTCAATTATTTTATTTTGTAAAATATGAAATTTTTATTTTGTAATATTTATTATAAATTTAAGTATACTTTGTCCCATATAAGAGTAATCCTCGGACACTGAGTTTTGCGATCAGGGACTAGAATGGGTTTGGCTATACCTTGCCAAATGCCTCATTTTTTAAACAGTAGCTGATTGCTAAATTAAAACCGAATTATTGAGGGGTGTGGTCTTACAAAATCTGATAAACGTCAGCTACTGCCAGAGGTTACTCTTATATGAGCGAATATTTATAATATTGTAATTACAATTTTATGTTATAGTGACCCGAATAACCCAGAAGAAAGTCTAATTGGTTTTAATAAAGACAGTCCAACTACTGCAGGTAAAGTGAATAAATTCATGTTAACTCATTCTGTCATTGTCACATTTTCTCATAAGCCATATCATGTTTTGAGTATGAATCGATTAGACAGCGGTGGCACAGTGTTTGGGCTTGAGAGTTTAAACCCTACTCTGTTATTTTTTCATTCAATTCTCAATGTGTTTTCCTAAACAATATATTCCATCCATTAAGGTTTGTGTATTATATTGTATATATTTTTAGATTCCCAGTCGAAAATATGGTTAGAAGATGAGTATATTAAAAGATACATTGGTGAATTGACACCATTGCAAGAATCAAAATTAGTGCAATTCAAGAAACAATTGTCTCAACTACAAAAGTCTAAGGTAATTTTTTTTTATTTAATTAGTTTGTATTTCAGGCAAATTCTTATTGGAATATATACATTTATTTTTTTTATCTTTGTTTATTTAATTGGTTTGAAAAATATTGTGTGCATAAAATATGTTTACTAAAGAATAGAATTTTAGCATTTAAACAAATCAAGAATTTTATTTTTATTATATTGCATTTTACAATTTGAATTACCCATTAATTTATTTATTTTTAATAGCTTTTTAAATTAATACATTTTCATAATTAATTGTTTTATAAATAATAATGTTAAAAAAATATCAATCTTTATAGTTAAACATGTTTACTGTGTTCAAATATACATTTGACATTTGAAGTAAATTGTTTATTATTTTGTACAGGTAGCTGAAAGTTATTTAATCATTAAATTTTGTGGTTAAATCGATATTTGTACACTGCTTGGGAGTATGACCAGTGACGTGGTGAACAGGGTTTTATGATGCCTAGGCATGTCATGGTGAAAAATTTTTTTTGGGGTGGGGTAGTTGGATACATTAGTGCTGTGCATCATATTGGTTTATAATTGTTCACTATGCAGTGGAGTATGACCATGAGAGCAGTTTCGATATGGACTCATTGGAGTGAGAACCACAAAAAGACATATGCAGTCGATGTGTTAACAAACTATTTATTATAATTTATAACAGTTCTATTAATTTGAAATATTTGTTTATTTGTTTAAATATATAAGAAAAAAAAACATCTATTTTAAAACAATATTGTTTCAGTTACCGAGTGATACTACATTATTGCGGTTTTTGAGAGCTACTGATTTCAATATTGAAAAAGCTAGAGAAAATTTATCCCAATCACTTATATGGCGAAAAAAACATAATATTGACAATATATTATCAGAGCACGAGTTTCCTGAAGCTATTAAAAAATATTTTCCCTGTGGTTGGCACCGCCATGACAAAGGTAAAATGTAAATTAATTTAATAATTTATGCTTTTTACAAGTATAAGTTGAAGTAAATATTTTTAGCAATAATTAATGCTTAATGCTGTGTTTTAGATTCTAAGTAAAGCAAGCAATGATCTTGACTTTACAAAGTGTTTCTTAGAGTTGTTTTTTGTGGTTCAAGAAGTACTGTAAGAGTTGAATGTAGGCCCATAAATTATATGGGATATTAACACGGCTAGTCTATTAAAGCTATTTTAAATACATAAACTGAAAAAACCAATAGATTTCACGTAATTGATGATTAAGTATTTCTAAAAATGATTGACATACAATTTTTACTAATTATTTGACATAGTATATACAGTATAATACTATAAACCTATTTGGCTATTTATACAAACATAATTTTAATTAAGAAATTAATATTTTTCTATGACTGTGATTTACATTTTGATGAAGTTGTATTTAATATTTACAGTCATTGAAAATGTTAGTTTTTAAGCAGAGAGATAAATATATTGGTTTTACAATAACGTGAAAGCTAAAAAAATTATGAAAAAACATAAATATTTATGCAACACTAGTTCTTGACAAAATCAGGATTTATCATTTCGTATAAATCAAAAATAAATAAATAATTTTCTTTTTCTAAGTCAAAATAGTTTAAAGTTTAATTCATGCCATCTCATAAATTGTACCCACAGTAATTAAAATATATAGAAAACATAATCAGAATATTTCTTTGTAAGAGTTTTATGTTCAAATTTTGACGAAATTTGTCAAACCCTGATATGTACTAATTATTTTACAATTAAAATTGGATACAATTTTTAATAATTTTATTTACTAAGACCTGAAGATTTTATATAAGATTCCTCATAAGTTTTCTTAACAGGTTTTATGCAAAATTTTATTAAAATAAAGAGGTTAATTTTGATAATACTTTTTTTATATTATAGATGGACGTCCTTTATACATATTACGTTTAGGTCAAATGGATGTGAAAGGTCTTCTTAAATCAGTTGGTGAAGATTGTCTTCTTAAACAAGTAAACTATAATTTTATTGTGAATAACTAATAAATTGTCTTTTTTTATTGTTTGTAAAATGGTCTATTAATTAATAAAATTAAATGAGTTCGTACTATTATGTTATAAATTAAAATGAACTAATAATTCCCCTATTTAATTTAAGATTATGACTAAGACAATTTAAAATAATTTTATTTCTTGATATAACTTGTGTAGCTATACCTAATATTTATTATTTTGTGTTTAGGCTATGCATGTATGTGAAGAAGGTTTAAAACTAACAAAAGAAGCAACACATACATCTGGCAAACCAATAACAACTTGGTGTTTATTAGTTGATTTAGAAGGGCTAAATATGAGACATTTGTGGAGACCTGGTGTGGGTGCATTGCTCAGAATTATTGAAATTGTAGAATCTAATTATCCAGAGACACTTGGGCAAGTACTTATAATTCGTGCACCTAGAGTATTTCCAGTTTTGTGGACCTTAGTGAGCACATTTATCAGTAAGAAAAATATTTATTAACTCTCTTTACATTTTCCTTACTATTATAAGTTAATATAATTTTTAATTTTATAGATGAGACAACACGTCAAAAGTTCCTATTTTATGGTGGCAATGATTATCAATCATCAGGTGGTCTCAATGAATTTCTTACGGAAGATGATGTGCCTGATTTCCTTGGAGGTCCCTGTAAAGTATGTTGTTTTTAACTTTGAAATAATGAATTTAACTTTTATGATATTAAATTACTCTTTAAAATTAGGTTAAAATTCCTGAAGGTGGTTTTGTGCCCAAAAATTTGTACCTAAAAGAAGGAGAGTTAGAAAAAGAAGCATGTACAATTACTGAAGATAGTATATATCAATCTGTTACACTAACTAAAGGACAGGTAATTTATACTTGTATATAATTGTATATACCTACAGAAGATTCATCTACATGCTCACCCTCATTGTTTTCCTTTATTATTACATTATTAACAAATTTTAGGTTTTTTTAGATTTTATATAGACTCTAATTTATGGAAGTTTTAACTACATATACTATCATATTTTTAAATATGGACATAGATTATTAATTTAATTTAATTAGTGTTCGGTCCACTGTCACATAAAAAAAGTTATTAGTTTATGAATCATATAACTATATCTACTATAGATAATAGATTTAAAGATATTGTGCTATGAGTATTTGAAAGTTATAGTAGTTAATTAAAAAGTTTTAATTTGTAAAAATTATCATAGTATAATATTTTTAGTTTTAATAAGTACTTGAAATTAGTGTTTTATACAAAACCTGGATCATTAACTTAAGCTTGCTTAGATTCTACCTTATATTCAATTCAATCAACCATTCATGGGTCATTTACTTTATCTGCTTATCCTTACAAACTTGATAATAACGATGCCCTGCAGTGTACGTTTGTACACTAAATTTGAATGAAAGTATTTGTGATCTCCCTTGCATTCTTCTCGATTGCTCTTTTTTTTTTGTCGATCAAAGGTTTGATCTTGTTCAAATTCCTAAAATCTATTAATATTTCTCTCAACCTCCCCTCCATCCATAATACAATTTCCAAACTTGCTATAAAAATTATGGTTTATTTTATTTTTTAAGCTGGCTTTATATTTTTATATTTTTATTTTGTATTGTTATAATTGTTGTTATAATATAGTTATTTAGTTAGTACTGGAAGCTAACAATAATTAAGTAAAATAATAGTTATAAATAAGGAATAGAAATAATAATTACATATATTGTATTCTTAATATTATAAAACAAATTATTAAGGATAATATTATCCTTAGTACATAATGATAAATCACTAGTCTTTCAAATAAATTTAAGTACAGATTGCATTTACAAGCAATTATTCTGATTAACAATTGTTAATAGAAAATTATGGTTTTTATTTTAAAAAAATTTGGGTGCTCAATGCTAATTAAATATGCTATTATGTACATTTGGATAATTAATAATATGCTACATACATTTTTATTAGAACAACACCTAACAGTCTATAAAATATTAGGGTTTATAGATTAGTATCTTAGTATTAAGTTATTGTATTATAAAAAATTAGTACATGTTTAGAAATTTTGAATAATCTAGAAATAAGTGTGAAGTCTTAATATTGATTATTCAATCAATTGGAAGCTACAGACATATACACTTGTAAATCAAATTTGATAAAATATCTTTGATTATACTAATAAAAATATCAATATACATAATCATTTAGATGAAGATATACTTATATTTGCTGAAAACAATTTATAAGTTAACTAAAATATCATTATTTATAGGAATATTTATAAAGTTAATTTAAGAGGCAAAGAATATTTTTCTTTATGTAGGTAGATTATTCATAATAAGTACCAAAGTTTGTATCACCGCTGAATACTCATATAATAGTAGAAACAAAGTATTTGAATAATTGCATTACTATAGAATAAAAGGGATGTAAGAGCACAGTGGCGTCCGCAGGGGTGTGGGGGGCTAACGGGCTGAACCGCTGAAGCCCCCCCCCCATTGCCCGTATTATTATTACTTAAAAAAAATATTTATCAAGTTTCAACTGTCAACTATAGTAAGTAAGCCGTAAATTTCATATACGTCTTACCAGAATGAATTCATTTTTGAAAAAACATTGTATTTGCATACCAATTTTCCTAAAATTACCTGTAATTTTTTGGTAATAGTATGAACTACTTGTATTAAAGACCTTGTATTCAATTTTCTGGTCTTAGCTTATACAAATTTAATATTTTATAAGTTTTAACTACAAATTAACTGTGATTTTGACAAAATTTGAACTTTAAATGCTTATAAAAAACAACCATGATGCCTATGTATCGTTAATATTTTAGCTATAATAAAAACTTACCTATGTATTACATTTTTAAGCTTGTTGACCGGATAAATATTTTTTTATTGACATTTAAAGAAAAAAAAAATTTAATTAATCAAATACAATCCAAGTGAGGCTTGAGGTACAATCCAATTGAGGTATAACCAAGCTGAGCATTTTCAATTTCGACCTCCTAAAAGTACCAACTAGATCCAATTTGCTTCCAAAAACTTACATCAGGCATCAAAGCTTATGATCAGAGAATTTTTTCTACCAGAAAAGTTGAAAAGTTACAAACATTTATAATACCTCAAATCATTAAACTGGACAAAATAAAAATTACTAATTTTCAAGCCCTCCTCATTGAAAAATCCTGCTTACGCCACTGTAAGAGCATGTTGGTGAATCATCCTGTATAAATATTCATATTTCATACTATTTTTTTTCCAATCTTACAATATATAATATATATACTATGTCTGTTTAAGGCTCATGAAGTTTTTGTTCAGTGTGAGGAATCTAGTTCAGTAATAACATGGGATTTTGATGTTATGAGACAAGATATTAATTTTAATGTATTAAGATTATTAATTGACGTTCAGCCATCAACTCTTCTCAATTGTGCCAGAGGTATTTATAAATCAATAAATTATGATATAATAACTCTTATGTATTTTATTTGTTTTATTGTTCAATTATTATTATTATTTTAAATAGATAAAAAAAAGTTAACTATTAAACTATGTTTTAGGTAATTTAAATGTTATAGAAAAGGGTTGGAAAGAAGGAGAACATTATGAAAAAGTGGAACAGACCATATTATGTCATGATGGTGAGAGCGTTCAAGGATCTCATCTTACTACTAAAAGTGGAACATATGTACTACAATGGTACTGGTCGTCAGATAGCGTAAATATTAGCTCAGGACATCACACGAAAGCTAAAATCATGTATTATTATGAAATGTTGAAATCTGCTGATTATCGGTAATTATGAATAATTGTGGAATGGATAAAATTATAACTAAAACAAAGTCATGACTAATGATATAGTGTTTACTTTAATAAACACATTAGATGATTTTGTTATCAATATCTTAACTTGGTTTGATTGAATTCAACTCATTACTTGATAATTATTAGTTAATAAAATTATTAATTTGTATATATTTTACAGGGGTTCAATGTCAAGTTTGATGTCAGCTAATAGTAAATTTTCTTCCCGTAGTAATAGATAGTTAACTTATCATGTATATTGTTTAACATGTCATTTTAATCGTTATACCTACATAATTAAGACCATACTTTAGAAAAGAGATACATTGTAAGGGATATTTGGTGTGTAAAAAAATAATGAATACCCTCTTTCTGTCTTTTAATATTTGTAAGTATCTAAAGTTTTTAAATTAAACATTTTCATATTTATTAGTTTTTTTAATTTTGAGTTATATTCTTTGTTACTTTTACCAAGTTATTATTAGTTTATAAATTCAATTTTTAACCTGTAAATATTTGAGGTCAAAATTATAAATCATAAATTTAGATATATTCAAATAACCTTTAATAATTAATTTCATAACACATTAAAGTCTATTGGATTTATTAAGGGAAATTTGTTATTTTTAGCATGGTCCTTTTGATGTTGTGATTATCCATTATAATGTTCATATTCAACTATATAACTATTTGTTAATGTCATCACATAGTATATATTAAGTTTAGATTTTGTTATTTTTTTTTAGTATTTTTTTTTTGTTATTTAATGATCTGATAATTGTTGTCCTTTGATGTACTACCTTTATGTTTCCTAAAATATCAAGTTTTTTTTCAGTTGGCAGTTTTAGTGAAATTTTCTTCTATTTTAATTTTTATTAGTTAATATTATTTTATTTTTTTGTATCTGTGATCAAAACATGTTTTATCTGTTTAAGTTATATACAATTAAAGTTATTTAGGCTGCGTAATTATTGTACACCTTCATTTAACTAAATACATTTTAGATAAAATAGTATTCTCACTTTAATGATGTAACTCATGTCAATTGAATTTTTATGTGTCTTGATGGTACAAAATTAATATATCTAATAATAATTTGTTATTGGATTTTATGTCAGCAGTATTTGTTTTTATTTGATGTATAAATAAAATATGCTGTGTGGATGGTATCATGAATCCCCATAACTTATAATATTTGTATGTCTTATGAGTTATGAAAAACATAAAATAATTAATCCTGACAAAAACTTTGTATTTATGAAATACTAGCTCTCTTATAATACATCCATATACTCAGGCTACATTTTATTTATTCATGACTAACTAATTACAGACAGTTATAACTTATGTCCTAATGTCTTATTGTAATCTTAACTAAGACGCATGTTATCAATTATCATAATATATTCCTTATTAATTTCTTTAGTTTAAAATAACAATAATTGTATGCATAAATTAAAACGTTGGAAAGTGCATAATAGATGTGCATTTTTCTGAACTAATTTCTACTTTCTAGCCATAATTTTATTTTAATTTATAAAATACCAGTGCTCAAGTAAAGATATTTCAATTTCATTTTGAATAATTTATTAATAACAGGTGTTTTTACCTCAGTGTATAAAAACTGTGACCATAAAATGTAATATTACCCAACTTTTAAAACTATGATCATTATGTGTTTGTAATACTTGTTGTTGTTAAGTGTTTTCTGAACACCAATAAACACTATAATTTATAATAGGTACATGCAATACTGCATTATAGAAAATATTATCTACCTATTTGTCTATACTATAATACATTTAAATTGTTTTAAGAGTTAGTTGTTATTTGTTAAGGTTAAATATTATCATATATCTACTTATTTAAAATACAATGTAAGTATAATGTTCTCTTTTTTAAATTTTAAAATACAAAAATATTCATGCTGGCATGATCTCATTGTAGTAGTAATTTAAATGGAGCATTTATCTTATATTTATATGATCTAATATAGTTATTTTATGGGATAAAATAGTTTATGGAGAATTGGTTTATGAAAAATTACTGGCATCATAAAGTAATACATTTATTTAAATTAATAATTTAATAATTCTATTAAATTAATTATTATTGTTTATATAGGTACATATTATTATATAATACGTTTTATTATTATGATTATTTGCATACATATTATAATATATGTTTTATTATTATTGTTATTATTATTACCAACCACATATAAATAATACTATTATAAATAGTTTTTGAAATGTACTAGTACCTAATAAACTTAAGCTTATTTAAATAAAAATGTTGTTAATATTTATGTACAAAAGTGTTTATTATCGTTCTATTATGAACTTCCACGTCAATAAGTACTCCCAGAATTTTATTATTGTCTATAAATTAATGTTGTTAGATATGTGTACATTGGAGCCCATAGGGAAATTTTCAGGGGGGGGGGGCAAAATTAAACTAGATTCAATAACCTATTATTTTGTACAAACATAAAGTGATTAGTTAAGGCGCCTGGTGCCAATGCCATTTTGTCCTCAAAAATACACCTGCGGGAATAACGATACCGCCTAATAGAATCAACCAAATTTCATAATTTATTTTTTAATTGCTAGAAGGAAATATTATACAGCTCGCATCATTTAATGTTTTTCAATATTTTATTCTCAAACGTTATAATATGTCTAAAAAAATACAAGATAAAAAGCATTTTTTTACAATTTTTTTAATACAATTATTTGAAATAAAATAAAAAATCAGAGATCGATGAGAAAAATGGTATTTCTATAAAACATGGTCATCAAAATCCGACAATTTTACAAAGCTTGAGAGTTATTCCTGTAGTAATTTTGTTCGATATAATACACCTTATTAACCCCCCCCCCCCCCCTTAAATATAGGTATCGGGTAGTAGATTAGTGGAAAAATCTTATAATTAAGGTGGCAACTAAAATTTAAAATTACATTTTCAAATTTTATAGAATTGTGGAAAATTTTAAAAACTGGCATTGGGACCCTGAACTGATTAAATTATAAGGCGATACGCATTAAGGCCATTAAGCAAAAGTCTGGGATACTTATGAGTTATGAGTTTATGACCTATCAAAATATCAAATATGAAATAACTAATAAGTAGGTACCTATATGGATATGGCTTCAAAGAATATTATATAATTTATTTTTGGAATACTTTATAATTTTCTAGGAGGGCATTTCCCCCCCCCCTTTCCCACCACTAATAGGCGCCTTTGTATGTGTATCAAAGAGATGCCCAAATAAATAATATATTATTCCAATTTATGATAACAATAATTAGGTATAATTAATTAATCTTGTGTAAAATGTAATTTAATAGCTAATCTGAACAATATATTTATTTTAGATGTATTTGATGCAAATACCTAATATAATTTAGAACACATTCAATAACTAATAAAATATAATACAAATACGTCTACAATCTACATAATATAAACACATAGACATAAAGGATTTTTTTTTTTTTGCTATAATTAATGTTGTCTCTAGTCTCATACATTTTACTTCATCGTATCCATATCACAAGAGACCAAAACGCAAAATGATCACTAAATACTTATAACTAAACATGATTTATTTTTATTCTGTGTAGAATTTTGATCACTAAATTATCTTCTTTAATTATTTCAATTGAATAATATTTATGACTGAGATAAGTAGATGTTACTATATAGATAGTGTATACCATGATTAACTAACTTAGTTACTAAGTTAGTTAATCATGGTGTATACCTAATGAATTTTTTTTTTTTTTTGATGAACAAATGCTTTAAAAATTATAATTTTGAGTTACCTATCATAGTAATGTTATTCTTTAAAAATGTATCTATAGTTTATAGTTTATACAATATTATATATAATCAGTATTTACTTAATATACAACATTATGTACCTACGTAGTACGTATAATATAACATTGTCATATATAGTTTTATCATTATTGTTTCCTTTTAATATTAAGAAAATATGTATACTTAGTACAAATTATAAATATGGCAGTACATTTTTATAACATAATGCGTGAGACAAAGCTTTCAAAACACAAACTATGTAGGTAGGTAACAATAAATTCAATTTTTAAACTTTTATATTGAATTTTTGATATTTTGATTCATGTAAGTTTTATTCTTTCATTGAATTTTACCGAATTTTTAACAATTTCTGTCGATTAAATTAATTATTTTATTATCAACAATAATGACTTTTGACTCCCCCAAAGTACCAACTGATTCACTTCCCTAACAGAAAATATGCTAAAGTAGATAATCGATGCATTATTATTTATTTTTACTGCCCCAAAAGGTGATGACGAAAAACAACACACATCAATACATTCATCACTCCACTCAGAATCTAAAAAAAGGTCATGGGGGTCGGGGGATCCATCCCAATATCCCACCGTGTGTATGCGCATATCTGAAGGAAACACAAAAATAGGCTACAAAAACAAGATCAGCAATCGGCATCTAAACTCTAAAGGCGGCCGTTTCAATCAAGGGGCCTTAGCCGACAGACAACGCGTTTAGACTTTAGATCACACAATCAACGAATATAACGGATATTTGATTCATACAAATATAATACGATATTTGTCAAGTATTTGTGACAAATACCAAGGTATCAAATTATAATTTATTTTTATTTTTTAGTAGTTTGTAGTTTCATATTGACAAATTTTTAACTTTGACTTTTTCAAGTTAATCAACATTCAACATTCTTATTGTGACGTTATTATTTAAGAAAATTAAACGGATTGACAATCATAAATAATTATTACACGTAATCGTTTGGTTTTTTGGGTCATTTTGATAATCCATGGTTTGATCAAAATTGAACCGAATCGAGTTCTCAGGCAAATGTAATCTGGGCCCGTGGTTACATTTTTTGTTGTAAGCTAGGCCCAGTCGCTGTGGCCGATCCGGTAAACGGAAAAAAAGTCCGGGGAAAAAAAGTCCGAGGAAAAAAAGTCCGGGAAAAAAAGTCCGAATAAACGGAAAAAAAGTCCGAGAAAAAATTATTTAAATATAAATTAGTTATTAAATTAAAATAAAATTAGTTCCTAGAAAAATATTAAACAAAAATATTTTATTAAGCTTATTTTTTTTCAAATAATATGTTTTAATCGCTCTGTATGTCTACTATATGGAGACAGGTTTACACAATGATATTTCAGTTAGGGTCCAGGGGTATTTCCGTATAAAACTAACGAGTAACATTACTACAACTTATCTAGAATATACCTACCTAAGATATAATATTATATCACTAGTATAGTCAACTGTGTGTCCTAGGTCATAGCAGTGTTAACAGTAATAGTGTAGTACATAATTTTATAATAATCATCATAATGGATAGTGTAAAATTAATAAAAAATGGAAAAAAAATTGTTTGTGGTGGATTTACATATACAATCCAGCATAAACTAAAAAAAAGTATAAGATGGAAATGTTCCCAGAAGTCTTTGAAAAAATGTCCTGGTGTATTAATTACCAACAGAGGTAAATACATGTATATTTATAATATATTTACGTTTTGTCATTAATTTATATATGTAAAAAATATATTTATATATGCAGATTTAAAGAATCCAAGCTTAGATGTAGAACATTCACATGCTGGTGATCTACACATCGGAATCGTCGAAAAAGCAAAAGAAGAAATGAAAAACTGATTTATAATGTCAACAAATACACCTTCTCAAGTTTTTGCGGAAGTAGTCAATAATTTGCCAAAAGAAGCTCTGAAATCCATGCCAAAAGAAAACACCGTAAAAATTTTAAATAATGATAAATAATAAAATATGTTTTTGTTAATTTTTCTCAAACAATGTAATTACATTTATACAATTATTTCAATTTTTAATATAATAATTTAATATATAAGTATTTTTAAAATTATGATGATAATTAATGCTTTTTTTTCGGACTTTTTTTCCTAGGACTTTTTTCCCCGGACTTTTTTTCCATGGGAGGGCAAAGGAGGCATTCGATATTAGGAAAAAAAGTCCGGGAAAAAAAGTCCGAATAAACGGAAAAAAAGTCCCAGAAAAAATTATTTAAAAATAATATTATTTATTAAATTAGTATACATAATTAACTCATATTATATTATATTTTATATATTATATTTTCATTATTTTCATTTCCCCCTCCCCCAAATTAAGCTCTGGAGCCGTCACTGCCCAGTCGGCTCTATAAAATAGGTCGATTGTAAAATCAGCCCGGCAATTTAAGATAATAAAAAAGGTTGGTTGTAAACTCGGCCCGATAATTTTGAGCAATAAAATATATATTGCACTGCAACATAATTTAATCTGCAAATACTCAATAACGTACTTATCTATATCTTATCTATATCTATCGCGAACGATTTGACATTTGTTCTTAACGAATGTTAAAATATATTTAAACATTGAGACAAATTATTTTTTTTTTGTATTGGACTTTTGAAACGACGTTTCAGTAGTGTTTATACAACCGTGACGATGACATGCGTGGTTGAGTCCCAACGCGGACAACCACTTAGTTTTAGACCATTTTAAATATCCTAAAATAACTCGTCCGTTAGCTTCATGTGAAATAAAGTGGCGATGTATAAATGTACAGCGTTTTTAAAAACATTTGGAATAAATAATAATATTACGCAGAAAAATTATGATCATAAATACGAGCCTGTCAGGGACCAAGTACTACAACGACAACGTGTTACAGCCGTGGCCAAACCCAAAGCAACCGAGGACATGTGCAGTCTGCACTAGGCCAAATAAAATTGTAGTGCACTAAATAATGTACCTGACTACTAGCAAGATCTGCAATTATGTGATATTCGATATGTTAAGAAGAATATGTAAGTACAACACGTCAACACCAGAAGAAAGTCAATGCCTGCGCACTATGGAAATCGATCGACGAAGTACATAAGGTATAATATTATAAAGCATGGAAATAGTTACAAATAGAAATACAGTGGACTCTCAATAATTCAAACCTTTGATAATTCGAAACTTTCAGTAATTCTAAGTAATTGCTCGTTCGCTTAAAAATCTCTCGGTAATTCGAATAAAAACAATCCATTTAAGTAGGTACACTGGTTAATAATTCGTAGTAAATTTTTAAGGAAAACTAGCTGTCAATACATGACAATTCGTAGATTAACGATCTTCAATACGAAGTATATTCACCAAAATGTATTTCTTATAATCTTATCGTTAATAATTTACATTACATTTAGATTATTGTTTCCGATAACTATCGAATTACTATCGAAGGTACGAATTCTTTTTTCATAACTTGGTAATTTAAACATTTTTTTGCCCTCTCGATATTTTGAACCACTCAGCAATTCGAACTATCGGTAATTCGAAATTTTTCAATAAGTCCCACCAACTTTTATTTAATTATCGAGAGTTGACTGCACGTATAAAAATGATTGACGTGTAAACTTGGCCCGAATAAAAATATAATACCTATATATTATTGGCTGATGGTAAATTAAGTAGATACACAACAAAACTATTAGTTATAGGTATCTAGAGAATACGGCATTGATTGTTTTGCATTTGCATTTGATTTGTTGTTCCATATCTAGTTGTAGGTTCATTTGGCTTATTATTAATGTTTAATCAAATTTGTATTCAAGGAATGTTTTTAAGGGGATTGAATCGTTTGTTGTAAAATTAACATTAAATTCTACCGCTAAAATCATCGGGAGTCAGTCTAAATTATATCCTAAAATCCTTGAACCTTCATGACTTTATATGTGTAACCAAATAACTAATAAGTATAGTAATATATACGTATTACGTACCTGTAATAAACTATATATTCTGATAGGTAATCATAGATAATGTTATAATTATGTTCACTTTTTTTTTAATAATGTACATAAGTAATTGCAGATAACCATAAACCTTATCTCAATCGAATACGGTATAAATATTATATAATAACTTTCCGATCTCGGCTATAGTATAGGTAACTTTAAAAAATTTATAAACGATGGCGGCGCTGTTGACGTAATGATTAAACAGTTCCGGCAACGTCGGAGATGCCACGAAAAAAAAGTATGGGGAACTTTTAAATGTTATTAATTATTATAATTTATAATAATATATATTATAATGAGACTAAAATATTCTTTACAAAAAAAAAAAATATCTTAGTATCAGGGACGCCCGCAGAAAGTCAGCTCAGTGGGTGCAAAATTAAATTTATGTTATACATATACATATATAGGTACTTAGTCCCACATTTACATTATTATTCACTGATTTTTTTGTTCATTAAAAAATTCCCGGTGGGTGCAATGGCATGGCACCCACTGGCCCCTCTGTCCCCTCTGTCCGGGAGCCCCTGGAAGAGTATAATTATACAATATTAATATTAAACACATTTTTCAATATCTATACTAATCAAATCATTTTATATCTATTAAGTTTTTATAGCTAAGGAGTAATAGATTGAACTTTTAAAACGAGGATTGTCATAATTAATATTTCATACTGTAACCGAAAAATATATAAAGTAAACTCAGTAACAAACACATTTTTGTTTATAGACATTTTAAGTTCAAATTTGTACGAAATTAGATATTTAAACGTATACAATAACGATTTCAATTATTTTGATATAACTTTAAAATATTATTCGTGGTACTTAAAAGTTACTTTTAAAATATATTATTATACTTTATTCACACAATGACATTTTCAAAAAGTGTATTTAAAGTTTAAACTACTGTGCTAGTGTATATTACTAATAATAGTAAAATTACCTTTATAGCAATATAATATCATAAATTACTATATTTATTTTGAGCCTGTTTACACAATAATTTGTAAGAAATAATGCTTTGAACATTTTTAAGTAATCAATGGTTAACTTACTACTGAAAATATCAAAATTACATAATATAATATATATCATAAGGTAATATAAAATAAGTGTTCCTATCAAACAATTTCAAAAATTACAAATCCATATCAACGGGCCCCTAAAATAGCAGAGCATAGGATATCCCCAGGTTCTACCGCCCCCCTACAAGTGGGGGACCCTGGTTACCATAGAATTATATTTTATGGTTTAACTTATGCTAAATCGAAGGGTTATTACTTATTAGATATAGAAAAATTTTAATATGAAATCCATAAATTGATAATTATTTGCTGTTCATCAGTCATCACCTACTAATTCAGGGGTTAAAGTGGGGGGGGCGCAGGAGGACTCAGTGTCCCTACCTCTGACGGCGGTTAAAAAGCGTCCCCTTTAACAAATTAGGATTTTAAACATTAGACATTATACTAAAATTATATATGGAACGCTTAAAAACTATATGGACACATTAGTCCCCTCTGGAATATTTTCCCACTTTAACCCCTGCCTACTATTAGTATTAGCTCATCTAGGCATCGAGCCTATCAGATCATTTCGATGATGATTTAAAATTTGATAAGTAGGTGTGATGACCACTATATAATATAGTTCAGTGGATGAGCTAATATTAATAGTAATAAGTATTAAGTGCACTACAAGTAGTATGTAGCCCCCTACCAAGCTAGTATAGCTTGAATACAAATCAGATGATGAATATACAGGCATTCAATGTACGGTACATGTATAATATTATTATACATTATAGGTACCTAAAAGTTTGATCGTTCAAAACGCGGCTAAATAATAAACAAACTCGTTTGTTCCATGATTCCGTTGAGCTGTCGCCGGCAGAGAAGGCCGACGACCATCTTGTTTAGGCTTTGAAAAAAAAAAGACTCGCGCCCGCGCCCTCTCGTCTATCAACACCGTGGTCGCGGTAAAAGATTACAAGGTACAACAGTGGCGGACACCCGCTGTGACACGGCCGTCGCTAATCGCTTATCGCTATGATTGTCGGCCCCACGGCCGCACGTACGCCAGCAACTTTCTCGCGCGATAACGAGTAACGTTGACGTCACATGACGGCCGCGGGTTGTGCGCATCTGACGGCCGAATTTACCTATGTCCGTACCGCGTCGTGCGTTGTCGGTGGCGGCCGGTACCGTCGGCTCGGCGCGGCGGGCCAGCAGCCACCGCCGACCGCCATCCGCCAGTGGAGTACAACGACAGAGAAGGTGAACATCAGGCAGGAGTTTGCGTTGGGGTAATTTTTTTCCATCTTTAACATCATAGTTCGGGCCGCCGTCGTCTTAACAACTAAATGGCGGAACAAGTCGGCGAGAGAAGGACGGAACGGCCACCGCAGAAGCCCGTGGCCCAAAAGCCGGTCATATGTGAGTAAGCCACCGCGCGCACGCTCTCCGCAGGGGGGTCAGTCGTCCCACGCACAACGGTCGTCGTCGCCATTGACGATTAGAAGGCGGCACGTAAAATTCACGTGCTTTGTCCCGAGCGCGCTTTACGTCGCCACGGCCGTTATAGCAAGACGCGTTTTTTCGCCAGACGCGAAATCGTCGTCTTTCGCCCCCCCTCCCCCGCGGCATCGGAAATGCGCGTTCCGGGAAGATTGTTGTTTGTTTTTGTTTGTTGTCTGCCGCCGCCCGCAGACGCGCCGAGACTGCCGTGTGCACGTTGCGTTCACATCCCCCGACTGATCGGAAGCGTCTAAAATGACTCCAGTGAAGTCTGAAATCAATGCACTTCTGGTGTTTGTTGTCGTTTACGGTTTATAGTATTATTATTATTATTATATCGTACAAGCGTGCATCGGCATCGTGTCTCCGGTCCACCAAACCTCCACCCACACCTCGATCCGGCCACTGACGCTATTATCACCGCCGATCGGGTTATTAATTATGGTGCTCGCCGCTCGGATCGACAGATAAAAGTTGACATAATGTCTACTACGAATGTATGCCGTCGTCATTACTGGCTTCTAATACCCTTTACCTTTGTTGTTGTTACTTGTTATGTTGATAATGATGATGATGATGATGATGACGATAATAATAATAAATAATAAATTGCCCCGACAACAATACCATTACCCTCTTCTCAGAAACTGATAATAATACGCGGGCTCTACGTATTTTTAGCTGGATCGTTCGTTATTATGACGGAAAGTCGAGGGGTCTATTATTTCAACGTCCATAAATAAATGCTTAGATTTTTATTCAAACCCCCTCCCCCCACTTGAATTATTAAGCTCCGCCGCCTAGGTCGTATTTACGACATATTTTATGCTCCTAATGGGCAGTAGCGTGTGATTGTTGGAGAGGCGCATCGAGTTGAGAGTTCTAACATTTCGCCTTTTTTTTTTGTTTAGCCGTGAAAGTCACCGGCGTAGTTAAGTGGTTCAACGTCAAAAGCGGTTATGGTTTTATCAACCGGTAAGTGCGATTTGGTTTATTGGTGTTTAAATGAAATCAAAAATATACATACTGCATTTTTTATGTATCATTTAAATCTTTATTTTCACACCTACCTATAGTATTATTGTTGAGCTATTTCAAATTTGTATTGGTAATGTGCAATTCAACTAAGAATTGTATAGTTATCAAACAATAGAATATGCTACAACGATCATAAATATAGGAGGTATGTAATTTAAGTTTATTTATCGAATTAATCTAACTTAAAATAATCCAATCTTACCTTTTATAATATTCCTATTTTATTAAAGATATATATATAAAATAAATTTAATAATTATCTATGTTATGTTATTTCTAGTAATGATACAAAAGAAGATATATTTGTCCACCAGGTAATTACATAATTATAAATATTTATTATTATTTTAATATTTAAAAAAAAAACCTATAAATATAATATATACAATATGTATATTAAAGTTACTCTTTATATTCATAAACATTTTATAGTAATCTATTATAATAAATATGTGCTGTTATAATATCAGTATATAGGTATATCTGGATGATTTAAAAAGTTAACTATAGTAAGAAATTGTCAAAACCTCCAGTTACCCTTTAATAGCTTAATGTATACAATTATTTAAAATAAATAATGTATCAAATATAATCTCAATCTGTGTAATTTATTTATTCAAATTCTATTTATTTTTAAAAATATACAAGTTATAATTTTATAAGTATGTAAAGTTCATTATGTAATACTTGCACACTAATCCAAATTAGTAAAAACTAAAAATAAATATTATTTAAATAATAGGTATATTAATTATATTGATTTTTTAAAAAAAGTACTATTACAATAAAAATTATTTTAAACAATACAGACTTTATGTTGTATCTCTGTTAAAATACATTTTTGTTAAAAAAAATATTAAATTTGGTCAAAGTATTGATGAAAGGCATTTTGATTTTAGTTATCTACCAACTATATATTGGTATCAGGTATAAATTCTATTTTTTAAGTTTTAATGGTGTCCATCTGACATTATTATTAAAATAAACTACCATACATACTTATTCTTAGATACATCCTTTTATTTCAGTCTGCTATAATCAAGAACAATCCGAAGAAAATTGTACGCAGTGTTGGTGATGGTGAAACCGTAGAATTTGACGTTGTTGAAGGTGAAAAAGGTCATGAAGCAGCTAATGTTACTGGTCCAGATGGAGAAGCTGTTAAAGGATCTCCTTATGCAGCTGAAAGAAGAAGAAATAACTATCGCCAGTGGTTTTATGGACGCCGTCCTAATACCCGTGGGAGAAATGGTGGTCAACCTCCAAGAGATGGTAGTCCCAGTGGTGGTATGTATTAATATTATAACTTATTTATTTAATAATTCTACATTGATAGGTTTTTTAACAACATATTCTGTAGGCGAAAAGGAAGAAGCTGAAAATGAAGTAGGAGAACAACCAAGACGTTACCAGCGTCAACCGCGTCAACAGAATTGGTATAACAGCTATAGGGGAAATAGAAGAGGTCCACCACCAAATAGGGGAGAAGGTGGTGATTACAATGTAAGTATTATTAAGATTATAATAATTATTAATTAATACAATATTTATTATTTCTATTTAAAGTATGAGACAATTTTAGGTTTCTTAAATTATTAATTCTTTATTGAAGTACCAAGTTTCAGTTGTTAAGGTCTTAAAATTATTTTGGAACATATATATTGAGCATCTATTAGGATATAATAATATATTAATACCTGATTAATATATTAAATTGGTGTTTTAGTTATATTAAATTAAAAAAAACCGCATTAATTGTGTGTTTTGATTTTAGGGTGGAGATAACTATGGATATGATAGTTCACCTCCTGGTAGAGGCAGAGGTCGTGGGATGGGTGCTCCCAGACGTTTCTTTAGACGAGGCAGTGGATTTAGAGGAAGCCGTGGAACAGGAGGTCCACCTCGAAGACCGTATCAAGATGAAAATCAGGTAAACATATTCAATTTAAAAAAATCTTATTGATAAGAAATATTTCATGTTTAAATAAAATTAAAGATGAAACTATTATATATATAAGTTAAAACTAAATAGGTATTTAGTAAATTATTTTATTATTTAATATATTAATAGGACAATGAATATAATCAAAGTGATGAAAATGGAGCGAATAGACCCCGTCCTCGCTACCGCCGCCGCAATAATCGTTCTAGAGCAAGAAGTGATGGTCCTCCAAGAGCCAACAGCCAAAGTGACAACGAATCCAAACAAAAAGTAATATTTAAATAATTTTATGTCTAAATATTATAAAATGTTTGTCCATAGTATGATTAAAGTATGGGTTACTTTTAATTTTTATTCAGACCATAATATGAAAACTTGTGAATAGTTTAATATACATCTCTTTTATACTTGTGTTTCCATTATACAAACTGATATTGTAATTTTACTTTTGTTTTCAGAATTTTGGAGGCGAAACATTGGAACTGGATGAAAGTAGCCATGCTTAAACATCAGATTAAGTTGCAAACAGTATATTTATCATAGAATCTTGTTTTAATTTTCTCTTACGCATTTGTGTTTTTCATGTATCTAATCTCGGACGTTTTATTTGTTCCACTCGCCACGATTATGACTCTAACAAGTTCTACAATAATCAATTTGGTTTTTTTGATTGCCTACATCTTTTGATATGTATTAACTCTTCTATTACAATCCAAACAAGACCTGGATTGTCGGTTATCTTGCTTGATCTTGATCTGTAAATCGTACATCTTTAAAGTATATTGCATGATAATTTTTCCTATTTACTTTTTTTTTTATAATTATCACAAAGAAAAAATAATTTTTTTTATGAAACATAAATGTGTTGAATACAATAAAAATATTGAATAATACTATATTTTAGACAAGCAATGTGTGCATGAGTAAATGGAGGAAAAACGAAATATATATTTGTATAATTTCGTATATATTAGAATTGTTTTATTACTATGTCAAACCTTATTATTTATTCTAAAAATTAAGTTACGACTAAAAAAAAGAGGTACTTGTAATTTATTACCTTGAACTTATAACATTTTTGTACTACAGTACACATATCAATTTATTAAATTATTTTCATACTAGTTATCAAACATTTGTAACATGTTTGAGAAATAATTAGCAAAGGCAATACTTTAGATTTAGAATAAAATATATCTGTATATTTCGATAATTCGATATATAAATATATATTTATAATTTATTATACATTTTGTGAAACTAAGATATCATTTTCATACTAGTTAAAAGTTTTTTTTAACATTTTATACAAAAGTTGTTTTAATATCCTAAATAATATAGTAAGATCGGTAAAACGGTGGCTGTATTTTACTGTTTTGAAATGAAACCGGTATTATGTTTCGACTTCCAGAGCAAACATTTTGGTATTGAATTTTATCTTAAATATGAAGTTATATTTTATTTACTAAATTTGTTTATTAGTAAATTTATTGGAAATTTGAAATTAAAAAGAGTGAATACAATATTAAGTCGTGGATAATATTTGGATGTTAAAAGCTTTATTTTGTACTCATCACTTGTGTCAACTTAAGCCATGATTGTATTTTTGCGACAATATTTAAATAATTGTCGGGTGGGTATTTACATTATTTTTTTTTTATTTAGTTTATTTTAGTGACAAAAACTGAGGAAATGTATGTAAACTCCTTTAATTAACTGGTGTTTTTTTATTCAAATCGTTTTTAAATTTGATGTATCAGTGTATCACTATACTTAAAGTTATGTTTTAATAGTTTTATTAAAACATGCTATCTTGACCAGAAGTGATTAAGGATTTATAAGTTATATTAGACTCCTGATCTAATTTAATTTGTTCAGATTTTTATCATTTGAATGGAGAATAATATAATACAGAATTAAGAAAACAAAATGCTGCCCTCTGGCCTACCCAGGGATTTGTCTGCTGGGGGTCTAATGACTAATACTCCATAACTCATTTTTTTATGACGCACAGCCTCCCCCAGATACTTCAAGAGTCCAATGGGCTTCTTGTATGAAATTAGATCTTGTTTTGGTAACTTGGTAGCCGGAAAGTAGAGGATAAAATTTAATTTATTTTCAAAACAATCAGGAAACGTCAACAAAAGAAAAATGAATGAAACATTTTAACTCAAATCCTGTTTCTTGTATTATATTTTATCTATTTCAATAACAATTGTCTTGATGACTTCGAATTATGTTGGTAAATTTTACACTACCGTCAACCAAAGAGATTGGAAATTATTATTTTGCATTACGTACCTATATTATTTTTAAACTTGGGGCCTATAATGTTTTATTTTTAAAAATTTTAGTCTAATGATAAGTCAGTAAAAGTGCTCTCATTGAATGTTAAAAGCATTAATAATCATGGACGTCCAGATGACAAAAAAAAAATTATACAACCTACAATAATTCGATATTACATGCTAACCTAACCTATTACCTACTATAGAGCAAGGGTCGGCACGTAAATTTAAAAAAATTGAAGGCCCTGTTTCAATGACCAGGTATGTCCACATTTTTTCAAAAATCATCTATTAATATAGAAATATTCAGAAAAAAAAAATAATAATACAAACTGACACTTCTGTTGTGTGCATTAATCAGGTATGTCCAGACATATTTGTTATAACGTTATTATTTCTAAAAAATTTTTCATTGGGTGCAAAAGCCAAATACGTCCAGACATATAGACTGGTTGTTGCTCCCAAAGTCCCAACACTTCTTCTCAAATGTTGGCATGAACATAACATTTAAACCATAGAGCATGTGTTTATTCGATGTATATAATTCTTACAAAAAGAATGACACCTCGTTTTTAATTTTTGGTACATTTACTAATTTTTTAGATAGTTTTTTATGTTTCTGAAAAATTTACTTACCTCGGTTTTGCACAGTAATCTTCAATTTCTATTGGTGTCCTAAAAATAAATAAATGAGGTCCAGTGAAAAAAACTTTGTCAATTCTTTATGTTTAAAAAATAGCAGTAAGAAAATAAAAAAACGACCCTTGAGTATGGAGAGGAAAATATGACCAATAAGTACCTAGTATCTACCGCTCTGCCGTAGATACAGACATACAGTACCTAGGTGTCGAATGAGTCACTGGACACTGATGTATATTATATTAAATTTGAATTCAATGCTATAAAACCTTGAACGTGCCTATACGAAAAACGATTCTGAGCGAAGACTGTGAGCCTATATACTATTATGTATATTTTATAATATAACTATTAATTGCCATTAAAGTAATTTAGTTTATACTATTACCAGTAGGCAGTCTTGTAAAGTATTTGAGTAAATGTATTTAAATACTTTTATTGTATTTAGAATACTTTTTAAATACTTTTTGAATAAAGTATTTGGAAAGTATTTTAAATACAGTTTTGTACGTATTTGTATTTGAAAATCAAATACTTTTATTTAAATACTTTATCGATTTTTTTTTCAATAAAAAATGATTATTTATTATCTTTTTTCTCAGAAATCAAATTAATATCATGACTAAATAATAATAATATAGTCATGAGTAATATCATTGAAATTTAGTACCTAAGTTTATTCCCGACATAGCCTCCTAAAATGCAAAATATTATTGTTAAACTCCAAACTATAAACATAGAACCATAATGAAGCGATACTCAATCAGCTAATTCGGTTTACGACTTTACGTTTACGTTTACCTATGATCTTATTTTTTTTCCTGTTGAATAATTGAATAGTATACATACGTAATATATACATTAATACAAATATTTTCACTACAGAAATATAGCATTTATATATAAATTATTTTCTCCAGAAGCTAGGTTTGTTGTGGAGATATAGGTTCTTATAATATCTATTTAGTTCTCATACAATAAATAATTAAAACGATCATTCGGTGATTATTTACTTATCATACAATTATAGGTACCTTGGTTAGTACCAGAATATGGAACATGCATTATAATATATGAACTATTAAGTATTAACTATATAATAATAATTAATATGCACAGTTTGAATGAGTTTGATCTCATGGTCAAATTTAAAGTTAAAATATCAGAGAAAAAGTATTGAACCCAAAGGTAAAACTTAAAACAAATGTATTAAAATAAGTATTTGTGTTTAAATACTTTCTAAGTATTTGTATTTGTTCTTAAATACTTATTGAAAAAAGTACTTTAAATACTATTTAAATATTTTTTAAGTTGATGTATTTGTATCTCTATTTAAATACAAATTAAAAGTATCTTTTTACAAGATTGCCAGTAGGTATATACTATAGAAGTAATTATTAAAACAGTATAGGCACCAGGTTGAATTAATTTTTGCCCAAAAAATCACATTTAAAAATGTCATTGTATGTATTCAATATAATAATATACCATATAATATAATAATATAGGTATTTTAAAAGTTTCATCTACCCACGATTAATATTTTTAAGTTACAACAAAAGAGTTATTAAAATATTTATTTTCTAAAAAAAAAATCGTTACTATATAATATGTACCTACCTATTTTTAATATTTTTAAATTTCTATAATAACAGCTTATCAGGAGCGTACACAAAAAAAAATAGGTTGTGTGTCATAATCTATATATATAAACAAAGTACACAATTATTAATTTTCGGGGGGGGGGGGGGGGGGTGAAGCCCCAAAACCCCTCTCTGTATACGCACCTGCTACTTATTGCGTATTAGGAACTTCGTTTTAAATTTTCAAGTTTTTTGACTGTGTGTGGCTGTGTACAATTTTTTATTACTATTTTTATAATAAAAACTTAAAAAAAATTAAATTTTAAATGTAATTGATTGCAATACCTACCCCTTGATTTTTTCAAATCAAAAATTATTTTATGTATTTAAAATGATAAAATATTTTTTAATTACAACTAAATAAGAAAATCGTATTAATTTATCCGTGAATATCAAAGTCATAATAAATTGAAATTCAAAGACTCATTAAGAATTAATGTGAATTTTTTTTATAGGTGGAAACAATTATGAAGAATCTTATACTTAGATATATTCAAATTTTAGATGTAGAAAGAAAATGTTATATGCATTTCAGTAACGAATCACAAATTTCACTAAAACCTCCCTAGTTGGTGGTTAAACATTTGACTGTTCAAGTACGATTATTATAGTCGATTATGCGGTATTTCGATGAATTATCAACCCGTTAGACAACATTTACAATAACTATATTATATAGCATGTATGGGTATACTAGATTAATAAATCTTGAGTATAACATAAATTATAGGTTTGGCAGTTTTAGCAGTTAGGTAATGTTTATTAATAAATTATTTAATAAAACACAATAAATAAATTTATCACACCACTCAGAATCTAAAATTAAATAATATGTTTATAGCTGGTACCCACTTAATAAAATCTTAAGATAAATAATACGTCAAGATTCCAGATATCCAATAGTCAAAGATATAAAAATGTATACTCGAATAACGT